ATGTAATTTTAGATAAAAGATTTTATCTCTTGTTCATGACATTAGCAGTTGTCACTTTGTACCTATTTGAAGAAGCTAACCATTATACTATTTTAGAAATCAGAGTTTTGAATGCTATTATTTTGATAATTGTCTCTATTCGATTAAAAGTAACTTTGTAAGTGGTGGGTGCTGCTTACTGATTGTCCTCCGTTTGTTCAGCGTTTCTATACTAGGGACAACTATGCCGGAACTTTGTGGTTTCTAGCCTGGCCGTTTAACCCATGTGGTAGATAAGGTGCCGTTCTGGTTGAAAATACCAAATACCTTCTGATGGTTGTCATGTGTTCGATCAAATGTAAAATAATTGCATGCGCTTCGCACGAACCAAATCAAATAAAAAACATGACAAGGATTTAGGGTGAATCAAGAGGAATTCAGAGATGGTAGTCCCTTTCTATCTTCATAATAAAAAAAATTTAAATGAAGCGAAATGAAATTTCAATTTGATAATGTTGCTAGAAAGGGACAAATAGAAAATTCAATAGTTAATAAAACTAAACTGAAAATGAAATAAAAGAGCAATCTGAAATGAGCTGGAGCAGTAGCAACACAAACCATTAGCAACAACAATAAAAGAGTGAATGAAAAGTGAAAGAATAAAACAGTTTATTCGGTGCCTTGCAAAAGCATTCACTCCATGCAAAGTTTCTACAATTTGTTGCCGTAGGAGCTTGCAATTATGAAACTTTCAAATGGGTACTTCGTAGTTAGAACCTAAACAATCTACTCCTAACCGAGAAAGATAAAAAACAAACGTTAATATTATGTAAGGAAATATTATGTAAGAAAATTAGAATATTCTCAATTGCATAAGTATTCAACCCCTTTACTATGGCAACCTTAAGTCAGTTCAAGTGAAAAGATTAGTGTAATGGTCTCTATCTCTGTGTAATCAAAGTGGTTTAATTTGACTTCAGAGTAAATACATCTGTTCATGCTACAACTCACATAGTGATACGACAAATCAAACATGAAGACCAAGGAGTTTTCTAAACAAGTCAGGGATAAAGTGTTAGAAAAGCACAGATCAGGAGAAGGTTACAAGAAGATTTCAAAGTCGCTGGTTATCCTTTGAAGTATGGTGAAGTCCATTATTAAGAAGTGAAATGTGCTTCATATCACCCAGTCACTATCCCAATCAGGCCGCCCTTCCAAACTAAGCAGCCAGGCAAGAAGGAAGCACTGATTAGGGATGCCAATGTGAAGTCAACTGTGACTTTGAAAGTGTTACAAAGTCTGAAATGGGAGTCAGTATTTATACATCGACTGTATTCTAGTCCCTACACAAAGCTGGCCTATATGAGCGAGTGGCAAGAAAGAAGCTATTATTGAAAAAGAATCATCTTAAGTCTCGTATGGAGTTTGCGGCAAAGCATCTAAATGATTCTGCAGACATGTGGCAGAAGGTTTCATGGTCAAATGGGACAAAACTGGGTTTTTTGGACTAAATTCAAAGCGTTATGTCTGGCGCAAACTCAACACAGCACATCACCCAGTCAACACCATCCCAACTGTCGAGCATGGTGGTGGCAACACCATGTTATGGGAATGCTTCTAATCAGCAGGGATTGGGAAACTTGTCAGGATTGAGGGGAAGATGGATGGTGCAAAATACCGGCAAATCCTAGAGAAAAACCTGCTTGAATCAGCCAAGAATCTAAAACTGGGTCAAAATTTCACATTTCAGCAGGACAATGACCCGAAGCACAATGCCAAAGCCATACTGAAGTGGTTTCAAAAAAAGGATAGTGAATGTCTTGGAGTGGCCCAGCCAAAATCCTGACTTGAATTCAATGGAAAATTTATGGCAAGACTTGAAGATTGCAGTCCATCAACGATCCCCAATAAACTTGTCAGAATTAGAGCAATTTTGCCAGGAAGAATATGCAAACATTACACTATCTCATTGGGCAAAGCTGGTAGAGACATATCCAAAAAGACTCAAAGCAGTAATTGTTGCCAAAGGTGCTTCCACCAAGTATTGACTTAAGGGGCTGAATACTTATGCAATCAGCAAATTTCAATTTATATATTTTCTTTGCAGGATTTGCTGACATTCAACCTCCTTCACACACAACAGTGTGAAGTTTGATCAGTAAAGTTTCGGATAAAGTCAAATTTATTAAAAATATTGTTTACATTATTTGTATTTCATCAAAATGTGACATTCTTGGTAGGAGGTGAATTCTTTTGCAAGGCACTGTATATTGCGATCAAGGGTAAATTGAGAGTTCAACGGCATCTTGGGATAGTAGTTGAACAAACATTTTATATAATTTTCCTAATATTCGTATCTTAATATCATTTAACTATACTGTTGGTTCAGTCTTAAGAATGAGGTTGGAGATTGAAATGGCAAATAATGAGGGGTGTAAAGCATCAATTCATGAAGGTAGAGGCAAATACATGGGGATGGAAAAAGGAACAAGCTTGATAACAATCAAGAATTGAATGAATTAAATTGAAAAGGAACTTTGAAAAGAGCTATTTTCAAGAAAGCAAAAAATAAACAATGAGAAAGAATAAGAGGGAGTGGCAATGAAGTAGAAAAAGCAGACAGGACAGATACATTCAGGAAAGAAGATTCAAAGAAAGCTAACAAATTTAAATAATGCAGAACAACAGAAAACGTCATCATTCTAAAAAAATATTTCGGATTGGTATCACATGCTTCGAACCTCGCCAAACAGTAGCAGAAATTTAGGTATAAAACCAGGGACGTTTAGAGACAGCCTCTCTTTGCCTCGCTCGTGAAAGAAGGTTAAGTAAAAGAACGAGGAATTTACTAACAAGAAAATGATAAAAAGCTGGAAAGCAACAGACAAAGACAACATTATTTACACAAACGACAAATGGCAGAAGATAAATCAATATGAGGAAAGTTTATAAAAGAACAATTTGGAGCTGGAATAACCGGCTCAGGATGTTGGTATATAAAAAAGTTACTGTTTGTGTAGTAGTATTAGGTATCGAAGAAGTAAGAATAGTCTGGATCACCTTAGTGCCTTTTTTGGATCATAACTTGAAACTGTTGGAATAAGTGAAAACATCAGGTGAGGGAACTTCAAGAATAAACAGAAAATTGCAAGTATTAAAAGGATGGTTAATAGATTTCTGCCTTAGATTTTTTCGCATTAAAGTGGAAAATGTCAATGGTAAGATCTATATGAATCTATATCTCACCTGGTTTTCTCTAATTAATGCAATGAACTCCATATGGATGTAGATGGTAAAAGCAAAAATAATGCATGCTCAAGACTACCGTGGCTAACAGAGCGAATAGAAATGTTTGTAAGTCTGTGAGTAGTGATAGGAGCATGAAAGTAACAGAAAATTTGAAAAGATAGGCCATGGCCAGGTAAAAAAGATCGCAGTCACCTTGAGTACAAGATTAAACAATCAGATCATCTGACATAATTATCTTGTTTTTAATTGTTCAACTTTAGAAATAATGTTTTTTCTTATTCTTAACCAGATTCCAGTAAACTGTGTTGCTTCGCTTTGGATTTGTTGATCTGTCTCTTTAGCACGCGGTCTTCTAACGATAAATCCAAATTTACAGATGGAAGCTTTTGGTGATCTTGAATCATGCCGTTGTTTTTGATTTTGGTATTTAGCCTAACTGGATATTAACAGCCAATGGTAAAAAGTCCACACTTTCAACCTTTAAGCGAATTTGGCTAAATGCGTTATATTTTAATCGAGCTATGATAAAGGATATATATATATATATATACTCCACCGAGCTGATATACCAGGAAGTTCGCTGAGGTTACAACATTTTTGCTGCTTCGTGATTGTCGGTCAGACTCGCTTTTCCTCGTTTTGTACAGGATAAACAAGGAGCTTTTTTCTTAACCTAAGAAGGCAGATAGGATTAGCTTTGTAACTTTTAAAGTTAAGTGATTCGGCTCTGGCAAAAAAGTATTTGGACCATGTTAAAGTGAAATTTATTAATCTTGTGTCATGTAAATAAACAGTGAGGTTTAAGAATTACTTATTTTCTCTCGACTATTATACATACTAGAAACTTTAACAAACACTTTTAAATCACGATAACACAATGTAAGCACAAAATAAAGGGAAAATATCAGTTGTGAGCCTCACATTTCAGAGTCACCGCAAGAGGGCGCCATATGTGTGTTGATGGATAGGAGGGGATATGTAATCAAAGATGATGATGTCATAATTCAAAGTTAGCCGCCATGATGCCACATTTTGTCACCAGAGGGCGCGTTGCTAGCCCGCCATGACTCATACAACACATGTCTCATCATGTCGATAACTAATTAATTAAATCGTCCTAAAAACGACGCTTTACACTAGTTCATTTATAATTAATTTGTTCTAAAAAGGACCCTTAACACTAATTCATTTATAATTAATTTGTCCTAAAAGGACGCTTAATACTAGTTCATTTGTAATTAATTTGTCCTCAAAAGGACGCTTAACACAAGTTCATTTATAATTCATTCGTCCTTAAAAGGACATTACACTTCCTTATCATTAATTAGTCCTACAAGGACAATACGATAATTAAAACTTACTCAATCAAATGGTTAAAGATTTTTATACTAAATTATTACATTTCCTGTTCTAAAAGGACGATATCTTACTGAATCTGATGCATACAATACATGATTATAGGTTTAAATCGCCCTAAAAAGGGCAATATCATATAATAATTAAAACTTATTCTTTAACTTTATACAACAATTTACATCGTCAATAAAACGTTTATTATGTAATAACAGTTTTACTTATTTCTGACAAAATAATTTACACGTTTTACAAAGGCGGACTTTCACATATACTTAATTAGCATTATCACCATAGGATTTTAACAAATATACTGTGACAGTAGTTCTACAAGTCTTCAACGTCTAGATTTAATTATGTTAAAATCATTATTTTACATATTTTAACATCTGTACTAAAATGATAAATGATTGACTCACTGTATTCGTCCATTTTCTAAATAACCATTGATCACCTCCAAACGTACTCTAAACCTGTGAAAGTATGGAATACTTAACTTCTTCCAGTGTTCTGTAGGACACTTAATGTTTCACAAATCATACATAACCAATAATCACCCTACAACTAAATGTAATAAATGAACGACTTACTGATTACTAATATTTAAAATACCACAACTTTCAGACTGTCTATCACGAAACACACATACAAATTTTTACATGCCGTTTCTATTATAAGTTCATAAAACTAACGAACCCGTATCTGATGTCAAACTTGAATACACATGTAGACACGTTATTGTGATAACACGTGATCAAATGTAAAACTTTCTTCTACAACACCTTGTAGATACTGACGTCACCAATACACAGTTTATCAAGTGTGACTCATTCAGTTCAGGTCAGTTCTGAGTTGACCAAGTCTATGTGGTTTGCGAAGTAAGTACTATTTTGCAATGTATTAGGTCGTCAAGAAATTAATTTCGCGTTTTGGAACACTTTCATAAACCACCACTCAAAAAACGTACATCATGTATAATAGTTAAACGAACCGCCTAAACGTCACGTTAGTGTAGCCTATATAATGTGTAAAGTTTAGTATACTCTAATCCCTTATAATGATGGCACACGATGAGACACACATTCGGCATTTAATGCTATTTGAATACAAGAAGGCAAATAATGCCTCTGTAGCCACAAAGAATATCAAATAAGTTTATGAAAATGTTATGAACGTTCGTAAGTGTCAACGATGGTTCAGCAAATTTCGTCCAGGTGACTTTAGCCTTAAAAACTGTGATGGCATGGGCCGACATGTTCGAATTGATATTGATGCTCTGAAGACTCTTGTTGAGTTTAACCCAATGCAACACACTCGTGAAATGTCCCTGAAATTGCATGTCTCTCATGAAACAATACATAAACATCAAAGGAATATGGGAAAACTTCATAAAGAAGGTGTTTGGGTGCCTCACGAACTCTCCGATGATCGTCATTTCCAACGTGTGAATGTTGCTTCGTCTCTTCTGGCGCGTAATGCGTGTGAACCATTTTTGGACAGAATTGTCACCGGTGATGAAAAATGGATTCTCTATGCGAATATTAAACGCCAAAAACAATGGCGCAGTCCTAGACAAAAATCACTTCCTACCTCAAAATCTGGACTCCATCCGCAGAAAGTGATGTTTTGCATTTTGTGGGACATCAAAGGAGTAATTCATTTCGAACTTCTCAATCCACAGCGAACTGCCAATGCAGAGGTTTATAGTCAGCAAATGGAATGTTTAAATCAACCCCGTCATCAGAAACGCCCTTCACTCGTCAGTCGTAATCGTGTTCTTCTTCTCCTCGGCAATGCACGTGCACATGTGGCACGTTTGACACAACACGATATTGTGGAGTTGGGTAGGGAGGCTCTCCTCCACCCACCACATTCTCCAGATTTGGCACCATCAGATTACCATCTTTTTTCGTTCGTTGCAACATCATCTTAATGGGAAAACGTATGAAAATGTGGAAGGTGTTAAAAAGGACATCGCCATGTTTTTTGCTTCAAAGCCAAGTGATTTCTTTAATCAGGGCATTAACAACCTGATTGCAAGATGGAAAAGAATCATCGATAAGAATGGAGACTATCTCATTTAATAAATGTTTTGTTTTGATATATAAGTTGTTCGGGTTTTTTCATCTAAAAAAGCGACATTCATTTCTTGACGACCTAATAGAAGTAGAGCAGAGTTCGAAGAAATAAAGCGTGACAGTCCGAAGTGTTTGATATTCAAGGCCACTGATCGTCTTGGTTAAGAAAATATACAAAATTAGAAAAAGCATAGGATTAGAATGACCAAGTCTATTTTACAATAACTGGCTAGCTAGTCCAAAGACCAAGTTTTTGGTAATATGAATTATACGGTTCAGTGTTTGTCATATATTATTATACAACCTAAACATCAGTTACTATAGTCATTATACAAAATTAATAATAAACTCTACATAAGATCTTTATTCATTTTTGTAGATCGCTAAATGTATTCAATTAGACCGTAATTATAATCTTTATCTTTGAAAACTATATACGCCGTGCACTTTATTTACAGCCTATAATCTGACATTCAATATGCAAGTAAAGACTTGTAAAGTGTCACATCACATTTGGAGAAAAAAAAACATAGGATTATTTTACAATACTACATAGTCCATGAACCAAGTGATTAAAATTTTGATAATAATTCAGTGTTTGTAACAAAAAACAACGGTTACTATAATCATTTTATAATAATAAACTCTAATTAATATTCATTTTACACAAGCAATCAAAGTTTTCTTTATTTTAGAAATTATACAAAACATTTGAAAAATTAAATCAGCTGTGCACTTTACTTACAGTTTAAAGGCCCGGCATGGCCAGGTGGTTAAGGCACTCGACTCGCAATCTTAGGGTCGCGGATTCGAATCCCCGTCACACCAAACATGTTCGCCCTTTCAGCCGTGAGAGCGTTATAATGTGACGGTCAATCTCACTATTCGTTGGTAAAAGAGTATCCCAAGAGTTGGCGGTAGGTGGTGATGACTAGCTGCCTTCCCTTTAGTCTTAC